GCCTTCTTTTAAGTATATTTTTTAATGCAACATTGAAGGGTTGTGTGGTTTCAAAAAATGGGGCAGCTGCTGGTCCTCCTCAGTGAAGATGGAACACGGAGGTTTTTCTTAAAACCCAAGGGTGCAGGGCTGGAGGCAGGGAAGGAGGGTGGGTGGGGCTGGTAGGAGCACCGCAGGGCTGAGGTCCTTGGCTGAGGTGCTGTGTGACCTCAGGCTGGTCCCTCTCCCTGGACCTCTGCTCCTCGTGTGTTAGGCGAGGTGGAATTTGACTCATGGTTCTCAGGGGAGATCGGTCATCAGACTTCATTTGACCATTCATTCATTCATTCATTCATCCAACAAATGCTATTGGGCAAAAAACGCACACTGAGCCAGGCTCACTATCCCTGGGGTTCAGTGGCGAGAAAAGAAACTAGTTCCCACTCTCCTGAAGCTGACCTCCCAGTCCAGAAGACCAGCACGGAGCAAAGAAACACACGGAATAGTCTTAGAATAAGAACAAGTGCTGTGAAGGAAGGCACGGCTGGCTGTTGTGTGGGGCAGGGAAGAGGGGCAGCGAGATGACACTGGGGGGTCAGGGCGGGACTGAGAAGGGGGCATGGGAATGAAAGGAGGGAGCGGGCCGCGCAGAGGGCTGGAGGAACAGCATGCCAGGCGGAGGGAACAGAGGAGCAAGGCCCTGCGTAAAGCCTGTTCGTGTGAGGGGCAGCAGAGTCGGGGGCAGGGAGAGGCGTAGGAGATGGGATTGTAGCAGGGCCTTTTAGGCCTGGTAATCCCTTTGGATTTTTATTCATGATCCCATAGAAAGCAGAATTACCTGGGATCTTTCTTTCTTTCTTTCTTTCTTTCTTTCTTTCTTTCTCCCTTTCTTAATTTTTTTTCCTTATTTATTTATTAGGCAGGGAGAGGGAGAGAGAGATAGAAACACCAATGAGAGAGAACATCGATTGGCCGCCTCCTACATGCCCCCCACTGGGAATTGGGCCCACAACCTGGGCATGTGCCCTGACTGGGAATCGAACCGGCGACCTCTTGGTGCATGGGTCGATGCTCAACCACTGAGCCACACCAGCTGGGCTGGGATGTTTCTTTAAGATGCCAATTCCATGTTTCACCCCTTTGAGAACCTGATCCATTCCAGCTAAGATGGGAACGAGGAATTTGTATTTTTTTTACACCTCCATGGGGGCCTCTGACACTCTGCCCGGTTTGGAAAACCCCCGGCTCCGTGCTCCCCGGGTCTCTTTGAAGAAAGCTGAGAAGCCAATTGCTGTGACATCCTCCAGGAAGATCGTAGATGTTTACTCTTTTACGGAGGAGCCCTTTCTTCCTCCCCGCACCGCTCCCTGCCTGCCTGGTGGAATTCGTTATGTTTCCGCTTGTTTCGTAACCTCAGGTAGGGGACACACCACCAGGAGGGTGAAGTCAGGGCTGTTGGCGAGGACACAGGGACGGTCACGCTATACACTGCAGCTCCTTGCTACCTGTCCTCACCGAAGCATCACCCAGGTTTCCCCTCCCTGATTCTGAACCCTGAAGGCGGTGACGGGCGAGGCAGTGTCCTCCACCTGAGCCTCGGGCCCCAGTGCCTGGCAGGGCCTCCACCCTCTCCCCCTATGTGCGGGGAACTCGTATTCCTGCTCCCTCCATTAGCACAAGTCCCCGCTAACGGAAGGACCTCTCGCCATGCATTTGCTCACTGCCCTGCAATGCTCCGTGTTTGCCTACCGCAGGGTCCCCTCTGGTGCAGACCTGTCTTGGCTTCCTGCAATGCCCCAGAGAGTCCAAAATGCCATTCTCCTGTGGGCCCAGCTCAGGCTCTGCTGGGCCACACGCTCCCGTCGAAAAGCTCACCGATTGCTTTGCTGAGAGACGTCGGGGGTAGAGTAGAAAAGGCACGGATGGGGCCCGTTGGGTAGACTGAGGCCCCGACTGGAACATAAAGGGGTTCGCTCAAAGCATCTCGAAAGCCCTGTCCAGCTTTTTGAAGTGAATGTTCTCTTCGGCCAATGCCTGTGCTCTTGCATTTATTCACTGAACAAATGTCACCAAGTGTTTGCTAAACAGTGGGCTCAGGGGCAGGAGACATGGCCCTGCTCTCAAGGAGCTCAGAGTTGAGTGTGAGCGAAGACGGTGAAATGGGGAAGAGCCGCCATGAGGGTAGCAAATGGACTAGCATATCCTAGGAAAGGGGTTAGGTCACCCCAGGAGTCTGCTCCGTACGTCACCACCTCCACTTCGTCAGCAGGGACCCCATCTGGCCGGGTGCTCAGGCTTGAGCCTTGGAGTCCTCCCTGAGCCCTCCCCTCCTCTCATCCTCTTGCACCACATTTAACCAGCAGCGAAGGACGCTGGAGCCACCTTCAAAATATACCAGCATCTGACCTCATCTCCTCACCCCCTTGCCGCCCACTGACCTGAGCCTGGACTATTGCGATAGTCTCCTCATCTCTGTCCTTCCTCCCTTCCATCTTGAGTCTTTGGACACTGGAGGGATCCTTCTAAAATGCACATCAAACTGTACCTCTCTTCTGTCCATGGGGCTCCCCATCCCAGTCCCAGAGAACCCAGCATTCTTCCCCTGACCTACAAAGACCTGATCGCTGATCCTCCCTCCTGCCACTCGTACCCTTGCTTGCTGTTCCTTGTCTATGCCCAGGGTCTTTGAGCCCGCTAGTCCTTCCGCCAGGAGCACATGTCCTGCTTCCCGCAGACACCTGTGTAGCAGTTACATCACTGGACAACAAATTACCCCAGACTTTGTGGCTTAAAACAACAATCAGCAGTCATTACGTCTCGGTTTCTGAGTCAGGAGTTTGGCTGGGTGACTGGCTCACCGTCCCTCATGTGACTGTGGTCAGATGTTGGCCAGGGCTGCAGTGTCACCTGAAGGCTTGACTGGGGAGCCCACGCACGTGGCTGGCTGGTGCTGGCTGTTGGCAGAGGCCTCGCTTCTCCACACTGGTCCTCTCCATTCGACCGGCTTCCGTTGGAGTGGTCGAGTCAAGAGAGTGAGGCAGGAGAGGCCTTTTTGACCTAGCCTTGGAAGTTGCTCATTATCATGTCTACAAATTTATTCTATTTTTCCTCATTTATTGTATTCATTAAAAGTGAGTTCCTAAGCCCACCCAAGATGCAGGGGCAGGAAGTCAGGCTCCACCTTTTGACGGCAGGAGTGTCAAAGAACCGTGAACACGTTTTCAAACCATCACAAACCACACGGCTCATCCCGAATCCTTCCCGTCTCCGTGCCCCCCGTTACTTCCTCACGAAGGTCTTCCCCATTACTCTCTGCAAAATAGCAGACACCCCTCCCACCTCCTGGTCTCATTGTCTGATTTATTCTCTCCATGATTTATTACCCTCTAAAAACCTTATTATTACTCGCTTCTGTGTGTATCCGCGGCTCCCCGTCTAGAATGTGAGCCCCATGATCACAGGTGGTCTCTGTCTTGTTCACGCCTCCCCGCACTGTGAGCTGGGCTGGGCACGGGGCCACTCGGGGCCTTGGACTCCTGAGTGCAGGTTGGCCTAGCCCAGGACAAGTCCTGGAGGGGCCACGCCTGGGGGCTGGGCAGAAACGACAAACCTTGAGTTGTCTGGGAAGAGCCAGGACAGCAATGCACACGGATAAGCTGGCCTGGGCTGAGGCAGGAAACAGGGCCCTCCTGGGGGGAGGAGCTGGCAGGGACGAAGGCTGGGAAGCCCTGACTGGAATGTGCATCCCTCCTGGGCTTGCAGCATCTCCCAGCTCTGCTTCTAAAGCTGCACCGTAAGCAGCCGACAGAGATGAATGTGTTTTGCTGTCCTTCCTTCCATATTGACTGGGCTCGGCCTGCTCTCCCGGAGGAGCAGGGGGCTTATCAGATGCATTCATCCCAAGTCATAAAACCAACCTGGATGCGCTGTCGGCAGGAGCGGGGTGCCTGAGAAATGCTGAGGTTTCTGATCCCTGCTGGGCCTGGGATCTGCAGGCAGGGGGAGGGGGAGGGGGCTGGCTAGTGAGGGCGAGATTCACCTGTGGACTCCCATCTCCTCCCAGTGAAGAGCCTGCCCCACCGGTGACAGTCTCTTCAAAGACTGAGTAACCCAACAACTTCTGTTCCCTCTCTGGGGCTCAGAGAAAGAGGGGGAAGTCAGGAGATTCCCATGTTGTTTGGGGCTCATGTCAGAGGCAGAGGAGGGAACTGGGGGCCTTCCTGGGGACTGTGTGCTTCTCCAGCAGGTGGCCTTACACCTACTACAGACACCAAGGGGGAGGTTTGGTTCACAGGGAAGGAAAAAGAAAGGGAACTACACCTTTTAGGTCTTCCTGTTTGCGTATCTTGTTGTCATCACAACAACTCTACAATACATGAGCTGATGTTCCCTGTTTTATAACTGAGAAAACTGTGGCTCAGAGAGGTCGCATGGCTGGCCTCGGGTCCTACAGCTACTAAATGGTGAAAGTGGTGTTTGAATTCAGGCATCTCTGTTCCATGCCCAGATGAGGCAGAAAAATGGAATCGAAATGGTGAAGAGGAGCTGGAGCTAATGACATCATGCTTTAGCCTCTGTGTCTTGAGGAAGGAAGTGAAATGCTTGTTCCCAGCCTCTTCCTGGGATTAAGTCAGGATAAGGGTAGGCGGTGCTGCAGTAACAAGTAAACTCAGTCTCAATGGCTTAGGCTAACTAAGGTTTATTTCTGTCTTGAGAAGTCTGATGTGGTTCAGGCATCTCTGCTCCATCAGAGATCTTCACTTTCCAGATCTCAGCTCCACCTTTCAGAATCTGTGGACTCCAGAGTCCCTGTGACAGAGGAGGAGCTGGAGAAGATACACAGTTCTTACTGTGTCAGATTGGAAATGACCTATGTCACCCCATTGGGCAATGATCATCTCATGACCCCAACCTAGCTGCAAGGGAAGCTGGAAAGTATTAGAACACCTCTGAAGGTCTGCTGAACATGGAGGGTCCCTGTCACATCCTAACTGTTTGCTTCCTTCTCTCTGCTCCTGTAGGACAGAACCCCAGAGCAGCCCCATGGTTCCAGCTCAGGATGGACCCTCGAAAAAGCTGAGCCAGCACCTGGGCACTGAGGCCTTGGGCACCGACAGCTGGGGGAGAGACAAGGCCTGCCGGGAGCGCAGTCCTGCCAGAGCACGCAGGTGAGCTGCTCCCCGCCCCCTCACTCCAGTCCTGCGAGCAAGTCCAAGTTGAGGATGCAGAGATGCAGCTGGTCTCTCTGGCCACTCCACCCCACCCCTGCCCCCAGCTCCTCATTTAGACCCTTGAGTCGGGGGTCAGCAAACTTTTTACTCCCAATGACCAGATAGAAGATATTTTAGGTCTTTGCCATGGCTCCTCCCTGCATCGCAGCCATAGACAAGGTGTCCTCAACCGGGCACAGCTGTGTGCCCAGCAAACTTCTTTTATACAAAAAGGGGATGGGCTAGACGTGGCCCGTGAGCCACTGTTGATGGCCCCAACCTTCAATTATAGAGATAGTGCCCAGCCGATGTGTCTCAGTAGTTGAGCGTCGACCCATGCACCAAGAGGTCAGCACTTTGATTCCTGGTCAGGACACATGCCCAGGTTGTGGGCCCGATCTCCAGTGGGGGGCATGTGGGAGGGCCAATCGATGTTCTCTCTCATTGGTGTTTCTATCTCTCTCTCCCTCTCCCTTCCTCTCCCTCTAGAATCAATTTTTAAAAAAATTAAAATAAAATAAATGATAGAAATAATGTTTCTTCAATTCAATGACTCTGTGAGCCCAACTCCCAGATCATGACTTCTGCCTGGATCTGCCTCCTGAGTCCCGGATCTTTGGGTCACAGACAGGACAAGAGCCAGCATTCTATAGTGTGGTTCTTACCCTCTGTGTGTGTGACCAGTGTGTGCTGAACCACTGTATACCTAACCCCTGCATTTTTTTTTCTGTATTGATTTTAGAGAGAGGAAAAGAGAGCGAGAGAGAGAGAAACATCGATGAGAGAGAACATCGATTGGCCGCCTCCTGCATGCCCCCACTGGGGATCTGGCCCACAACCTGGGCATGTGCCCTGACCGGGAATCGAACCGGCGACCTCCTAGTGCATGGGTCGATGCTGAACCACTGACTGAGCCACACCGGCCAGGCAATGACCCCTGCATTCTTAATGGCTGATGTTTAACTGGGGTGTACTTACCCACTGTTCTGGCCCTTCTACCCCGCTGTGAGGTCACACCTTGAAGAAATAGTGCCTGGGACAGAAACAGGTAGAGAAAGTGCAGACCTATCTGGATAAAAGCACTTGGGATTTGTGGAGGGGGTGATCATCTATCCAAAGTCAAGGGCTTTGTTGATTTTACCCCCACCACTTAAATCTGCTCCCCTGGGATGCTTGGGTTCCAGAAAGAAGTAAGAATAATTGACTGAAACAATGAGCTCTTTCTCTGTTTTTGTTTTATACGACATACTTTTATTTTTTATTTTTTATTTTTTTTATCCTCACCCGAGGATATTTTTCCATTTTTTGTACAGATAGAGTGGGAGGGAGAGAAAGGAAGGGAGAGAGAGAGACAGAGAAACATCGACGTGAAGGGACACATCGAGTGGCTGCCACCCGCACGACCAACCAGGGTCAGGGACAAACTGCAACCGAGGTATGCGCCCTTAGCGGGAACCGAACCCGGGTCTCTCCGGACCGCAGGCTGACGCTTTAACCGCTGAGCCAAACTGGCCAGGGCTATACGACATACTTTTAAAAGATAATTTTTTTCCCCGTAAGTCCCCCTCCCTTAAATTTTTTTTCCTCAAAATTCCTGGCAGCTGTCACACTGGAAATTGTTTATATGAAACAAGATAATTTAACAAGTGGCTAAATTATTTCCTCCATTCATCCCTCGTTTGGTCACTCACCAAATGTTCATTAGGCTCTTCCTCTGTGTCAGGAAAGATTCGGAAGTGGCCTAGCAGGGGTACACGGGCAGCCCGTGTGCTCCCCGGCAGCATGTAGCAGCCTCCGTGTTTTCTAACATGTGAGGGTAGTTAAGGAGCTGATTACTAATCCCTGCGCTATGTGGGCTTCGCCTGCTCAAAGTGACGCTCTAGCTCTGTTTTCTATACAGAGACCTCGGCATATATTGTAACCATGTTATCCTTCTTTTTTTTTTTTTTCTACTCACCAAAATGATCCAAATTCTTGGAATGGAATCCCATACGATGGTAGCACTTGATGACGCTCTGTAAAGAGCTGGGTAGTTTCCAAAAGCAGGGCCGCAGAAATAACCCCAGAAGGCAGCTGGTTTTGTGGGGAAGCTGTCGGGGCAGGAATCACACTGGCCCTGACTCAATACCCAGCTCGCTCAGACGCCTCCTGACTGTGCAGCCCTGGGCAAGGCGGTCAGCTTACTGGGCCTCACTCCCCCCCTGTAAAACGAGGAAAAAACATCAGACCGTCCTCACCGTGTTTCGTGAGTATCCAAATATCTAAAACGCCCGGCATGTAATAAGTGCATAAATGGCAGTTGTGTTATTGCTAATAATGATAATAATATTCTTATTAATATTACATGTTCCCACTGTGGTCCAACCGGGTTTGGCATGTTTCGGGTTCTAGGCAGTTTTTCATCCCAAACCATCTCCTTTGCCATGGGATCGTGTTTTAAAAATATCCCTGGAGCCTGCCCCAATTATAATAGGAGATAACTTGATTTCATTTAACTGCAGCCTGAGTATTTGAATTTAATTGAATGGGAAATAATTATTCCTGAAGAGCGGAGGTTTTGGAGGTTCTGTGAGGCGATATAAGATACGTATCTCATTACATCAGACCTCGGCAAATACGCTTTTAATAATCAGCTGCTACTTAACATATAATCTGCCGATTAAATTTCCGGCAGGAACTACAGACGAGATGTAGTGGGGAGGGAGGGGACCGTACTGCCGATTCATTATTTAAAAAGTGATTTATTTACCAAGGTGAACCATTTGCAAATTCAATAATAAATCTATTAAGGAGCAGTTAACCTCTGTAATTCTGTTTTAGATAATCAATTGGTGTTGGGGTAACGTATGGCATCTGTCTCATTAGGTCGACATTAGCACCTTATTTGAGGCATTTAGTCTGAAGTGTGACCGATTCAGCCACGTGGTGGTAATTAGGGATTCACTCTGGCTCCTTCATCCTCCAAGGAATGGGGTCCTTCTTCCCTGGCTGCAACAGCCCTGGCCGGGGGCTTGGGGGACCCTGAGTCCTCTAACACCAGACTTTGTGCTCCCCACAGTGCCTCCCGAGACAAAGATCTGACACCCCCACCGTCCTCCAGGGGGAAGAAGAAAAAGAAGAAATCCACCCGGAAGAAGAGAAGGAGGTGAGGGCCCCAAGGAAAACCTTGAAGATGGGGGGAGGGACAAAACGGGTAAAAGGAGTTTCAGAGTCAAACAGTGACCCCTTGGGTTGAGTTCCCCTCTCTGCCTCTTAATTGGCTGTGTGACCTTGGGCAAGTCGCTTCACCTCTCTGTTCCCAATTCTATAAAATGGTGCTAATACCTACCTCTTGGGATTTTTTGTGAATTAGATGAAAAAACAGACGTGGAAGGAGCTGTCACAGTGTGTGACGCATAGTAAATGGCCAATTATTCAGAAGCATAGTTGTGATCATGAATATTAATTTTTTTTTTTTTTTGAGAACTGTCTCTGTGTGGAGGGCGGTTCTACATACTGTGTCCTCCCTGATCCTTTTTACCCTTTGACCACAATCTACCTGGGAAGCATCTTGTCCCCATTTTGGAGATGAGAAAAGAAAGTCACAGAGAGGGGGTGACAGAACCTACAGGGACTTGATTCCAGGCTCCTCGGGTGGTTCCAACACACCCACCTAGCAGGTGTAAAACCAAGGATGATGGACTTTATATTTTTGGTCAGCTGTTGACTCTTTTGTACCCCATGCTTTTTAAAATATATGTACAATTTCTTTTAATATTTTTGTATTTAAAACGATTTCCTGAATTTCTTCAGAGCTCCACGCATTAGACTAAAAGGCTATGGAGTGCTCGGGACCCAGAGTGGTCCGCAGAGACCTTGGAAGGGCGGGTTTCTGAAAAGCACACCAACCGTGAGAGGCAGTATTTGAAGAAGCCTGCAGGGGGCAGCAGAGAAGAGTGTCTGAATGATCGGTCCCACCTCCAGGTTTTCTGGGACCTTGTTTCCAGGACACCCCTTTAGCCTAGCTCTAAGAGGATCCAAACGGGAATGTGGAGACACCGAGTTTCCGCCATTGTCCGGTGAGCGGTGGACTTGGGGCAAGTAGCTGATGTCTCCCGATCTTGGGGTGGCCTTGAGGACACTTCAAAGAAGGAACCCACAGGCTGCAGGCATCACTAATTCATTCTTTTATTCAATAAATGTGCACTGAGCACATGTTTGGGGACAGGCACTGTGACCCCCTAAGAGTCAAGTTGTTCTCAACCCTGCCTTTCCCCCTGCAGACATGTTTTATTTGCAAAGTGGTTGTGTGTGTGTGTGTGTGTGTGTGTCTTATTAATTGGTGACCAACATTTAAAAGCCAGATTTCATATCAAAAGATGTTTTCCTGGTGACTTCTGCTGAATAGGGAGGTTTTCTGGAAGCCCAGGCCTACATTCCCACATGGGACCCTAGGGATCTGAGACACCCCCCCAGTCAGCTGCTCTCTGGTTGACCATGGTCCCCACCGCTCCCTACTGTCTTCCATCCAGGCTGCTTCACCCATTCACGCCATCTGAGAGCCATCTGAGAGCCCCCTGTTGGCGCTGACTTTGAAGCTCCTAATCCTTTTCATCCTTGGTATTTTGTCAGTGGGGAAACAGAGAGAATAGTGACCTACCCAAGGTAACTTCATGAATTGGTAGTAGAGCTCAGATCGGAACTCGGGTCACCGGAACCTCCATCTGACATTTGAAACTAGTATTAGCCTGGGTATTATGCTGTGTGCGCTACTGAAAGAGCTGAGAACCACACTGGGGCTGGAAAAGGGTCTGTTTGAAACCAACCCTGGCCTTGAAGAACCTCCTTCTGAAGGGCATCCCCTCCCCCGCAGGTCCCCGTCATACAGCCCATCACCTGTCAAGAAAAAGAAGAAGAAAAGTTCCAAGAAGCATAAACGACACAGGTACGGTCCTTCCTCCTCTGCAAACAGGGATGCGCCAGGCGGGCTGGGGCGGGGCTGAGAGCGGATGACACCGAAAGGTCATTTGGAAGCATTTCATGTATGTAACATATCTCTGAATTGTTTGGGGTTTTTGTTTTGTTTTGTATCTTGTATAACTTGGACCCTGGTTTTGAGGACCAGAGCCCTCTAAGGCCAGAGGGGGATGGGGTGATGTGGAGACAGGAGTGTCTCAGGGACCAGCCAGGCCCCAGGGAGGGTCTGGAACCGAGGGGTGGAACGCTGGGGGAACCCAAGCGGGGTACACAGTTCCACATCCCACGTGGAAGCCACACTGTACCCTGTTCCCATCTCTCCATGTTGCAAGCCCAGCCACAAGGAGACGCTGAGTCTGTCTGTCTTGTTCCTTATTCCATTTCCAAGGGGAGGCCTCTTCGGTTGGTCCAGCTGTGTCCTACAGGATGGAATCGCCCCAAACGTGGCTCTGGGACTGTCCACCCTCATGGCCAGGGAAGGGGCATTCTGAACTGGACACACATTCCAAAGGGTGCCCAATACACTCACACTCAACATGCACGTAGGTTTCTGGGGGTGAAAAGAAGACTGGACAGATGTACACCAGAGGATGCAAGTCTGTGCTTCCTGGGCCAACCCAACATTTTATAATGGGGAGATTTTGCAACAGAGAAATCTGTTCCTCCGTAACCTTAGAAACTGCGTCTTCATTGGACCCGTTTTTTTTGTTTGTTTGTTTGCATTTATCTTCAGATAGAGTGGGAGGGAGAAAGAGAGAGAAACATCAACGTGAGAGAGACACATCAAGTAGTTGCCACTCTCAACCCCAACCGGGGCCGAGGACAAACTGCAACCGAAGTACGTGCCCTTAGCAGGAACCAAACCCAGGACTCTCTGGTCCAGGGACCAATGCTCTGACCGCTGAGCCAAACCAGCCAGGGCTTCACTGGACCAGTCTTTGCACAGCAACCATCAGCCAGAGCCAAGGAGCTGCTGTGCGTGTGGCCGGAGGCTGGGCGCTTGGCTTGCCGCAGGCCCCGCCTCGCTGGCTCCCCACGTCCACACACACCCACAAAGCCTGCCTGGCCCCTGGGCCAGTTTGTCCCCAGCCCCAGTTGGGGTCATGTGGGTGGCAACCACTCAATGTGTCTCTCTCATGTTGATGTTTTTCTTCCTCCCTCTCTCCCTCTCTATCTGAAGATAAATGCAAACAAACAAACCCAAAAAACTGGTCCAATGGAGACATAGTTTCTCATTTTTCGGAGGAACTGATATCTCTGTTGCAAAATCTCCCCACTATAAAATGTTGGGCTGGCCCAGGAAGGTCAGGGAGTTTGAAGCTCCCCGTATAAGTTATTGGCTGTGATGGACTGCGGATGATAAGGAAAGAGTGGTTTTTATTTTCTTTTTGCTTATCTGTATCTCCCAATTTCCCTACATCAATGATGGATTACTCGTGCAATTAATCACGACAGAATGAAAGGTAAGTGTTCATTGCATCCCCCCACCTCCCAGGCATCTTAGCCCTGGTTCAGAGTTGCCCCAGAGGGGCTTTTCCTAATCGAGGGCGTGGTCACATCTCAGCCCTGCTGCCAGAACGGTCTCAACTGTTTGGTCTCACTGATTATGTCCACCACCGGCCCGGACGCCCCGATGGATGCTGAGTTTGTGTTTAACAGCTGACCCTTGCACACCGTGGGGGTTAGGGCACTACCCCCCCCACACACACACACACACGCGCAGAGTTAAAAATCTCTGAGTAACTTCTGACACCCCCAAAACTTAACTACTAATAGTCTACCAATGACTAGAAGTCTTATCGGTGACTTAATCAATTAATAAATATTTTGTATGTTATATATATTATATATTGTATTCTTTAAAAAGAATTTTTTCTTATTAATTTTTGTATTTATTTTTTCTTTTATTGATTTTAGAGAGAGAGGAAGGGAAAGGGAGAGATAGAAACATTAATGAGAGAGAACATTGATCGGCTGCCTCCTGCATGCCCCCCACTGGGGATCGGGCCCACAACCTGGGCATGTGCCCTGACTGGGAATCGAACCGGTGACCTCTTGATGCAGGCCAGTGCTCAACCACAGAGCCACACTGGCCAGGCTATACTGTATTCTTACAATAAAGTAAGCTAAAAAAAAAAAAGGAAATATTATTAAGGAAATCATAAAAAGAAAATACACCTACAGTACTGGACGCATTTATTGAAATATCCCACATGCAAGTGGACTTGTGAAGTTCAAACCCATGTTCGAGGGTCAGCGGTGTAGACCTGAGCAAACCAATAAGCAAAGTGTCGTGAACTTGGTCAGAAACCTTCGCCAGCCTGGAGTCCTTTGCAGAGGCCACGGCTAGACTCGCCCTGTGCCCTGCGCTGAACAATTTGTCCCGTGCGGGGGCCTTTTCCATAGCTGGAGGTTGGAGCCCAGGGGCTTCTCCCTCCAGGGTCTCCCCCTGTGAGAAAGAGACTTGCCGGGTCAGAGTCAGGCCTCTGCTGCCAGCTGCAGCCGGCCGGGGACTGGAGGGTCAGCCGGAAGAGGGACCAGAAAGAGGGAGAACAGGACATGCCGATGCGTCCCAAACCCTCCCTGCCGAGCACCACCTTGCTGGCCCGGCTTCTCCGGGTCTTCACATGTTTGCTTAATGATGCTTGACTGTTTTGGAGATGGGAGCAAGGGGCAGAGGCTGCACTGAGAATTTTCCTCTTCTCTCAATTAAAAAGGCTTCAGGGTTTTTAAAATTTTCCATTTTTTACTTCTGTGTATTGGGTACCGTTTATATGTCATGAATGAGGATTCCGGGCCCCCAGGAACAGAACAGCGACTAAAACCCAGCCCCTGCCCTCAAGTTGCCCCCGTTCTAGCTGGGGAAACCGGTCATTACAATATGCAGGCGCCTGGACCCGAGCAGGGCGAAGCTGAGAAGCTCGCTCAGAGCTTGTGTGCAGAGGAGTCACCCGGGCAGCCCCAGGGGACTGGAAAACGCTGCCAGGCAATGATGACACCTGAGAGACGCTCGGAAGAGTGAAGGAGTTATGTGGGTGAAAGCTGTGTGCCCTTGGGCAACTTAACTAACCTCTCTGAGCTTCAGCGTCTGTAAAATTGTGGCTAAGAGTATTCCCGGGGCTCGGGGGGAAGACTGATGAGAGTGTGTGGGAGGTGCTTGGCCAGACCCGGGCACACAGTGAGGGTTCCCCACGTGGAAGCTGGTTGTCCCGTGAGGATGATGACGAGTCCACGCTAGGGACAGAGATGAAAGCGAAGCTGGGGATAGGGGAGGAGGCAGAGGACTCCCCTGCATCAGCCTCACCCAGCCTCATCGCAGACAGGCTTACTGACAATTTGGGGTGAGGACCGCAGCACTGGTAGGTTTTGACTTGGGAATTCAAAATGCAGACAATGTCTCCCCTATGGTCTGCGGAGCCTTTGACATCGAAGAGGAGGATTCGCTACGTGTCCCCACCCCCATGTCGCCTGATCACAAACACGCTGATACATGCATCCCAGGAAAAGAAACCTCAAACTCACCTGTCTTTATTGTCTTCCCTCCTCCCTCCCCTTCCTCCCTCTGCTCCTTTCTTCCTTCCTCCTCTCTCTCCTCCCCGCCCTCCCTCCCTCTCTTCCTTTTTCCCCTTCAACCAGGTCATTCTCCAAGAAGAGAAGGCACAGGTAAGAACCCTCACCTCTGGCTGCTGCTCTAGCCTTCTGCTTTCTTAGCCAGGCAGCTCCTAGGCTCAGCTCGCGTCTCCGCCTCCGTGCCCTGGGGCACACCCTCCGCATCTTCCTCTGTCTGTTTCCTCCCAAACGAAGGCCTGGCCGGGTTTGCCTGAAAGTCCCGAGTCCGCTTTCCACTTCCATCAGGCAAGAGGGTCTCTCCCAACCAGCGCTAAAGCTGTCCCTCTCTGGAAAGTCTCCTACCCGGGCCAGAGCTGTTTGTCTTAGCACTGATTGAAACCTTGAGGTGGGGCCTGGAGAGAAACATCAGCCCCGGCCACCCACCAAAGCCTTCCCACGTCCTGTGCCAGCGACAGAGGCCAAGTCCCCCTGTCCTGAAAACGCTGGGTGAGCCACGGGTGCTCCCTACAAATTAGATCCTGCGCTAAAGCCTTTCCACACGTGTGCATATTTAATCTCCCCCCCCCCCCCCCCAGCATCCTCATCACAGCTGCGGGCGGGTATGGTTAGTGTTCTCACGTTACAGATGAAGAAACTGAGACTCAGCAGGTGATGGGACAGGCATGTCCACAGACACACGGTCGGAAGGTGGCAGAGCCCAGATCTCACTCAACCCGGCTCTCAGTCAGGAGTCAGGACACGGCTGTGGCTTCTCCAAGAACAAGAGCCGCAGGGAGGGCTGTGGGCAGCGTGCAGGGCCCTTCCTTCCATTCGTTCAGGAACAAGCAGAACTTGGTTGCCAGGGAGATCCATTCCCTCCGCCCCACAGCCTGAGCAACGGCCCAATGTCATAGCCAAGGACACCGGGTCTCCGAGAAGACGGGTGACTTGCCTGATGTCACACAGCAACTATGCAGTGGGGCCGGGACTTGAACTTGGATGTGTGTGTGTGTGTGTGTGTGAATCCTCACCCAAGGATACTTTTTCTCATTGATATTTTTAGAGAGAGTGGAAGGCACAGAGAGAAGGAGGGAGAAAGGGAGAGAGAGAGAAATATTGATGTGAGAGAGACACATCGGTTGGTTGCCTCCCAGATGACCCTGACCCAAGCTGAGGATCAAAACTGCAACCTAGGTACTTGCCCTTGACTGAGAATTGAAACCATGACCCTTCAGTCCTCAGGGCAATGGTCTAACTGCTACACCAAACTGGCCAGGGCTTGAACTTGGATCTTCCAGTGAGGTCCTGGGCTCTTCCAACGCCCAGGCGGAGCCTCAGACAGGGACACAGATACCGCCACTCAGGTCAAGGTTCGATTTCAGTGCGATGAGACCAGTTTCCCCAGTCCCAGGACCCAGGCCGGTCCTGCATTTCTGGGGATCCCTCGAAGCCAATTCGACTTGAACTACTTGATAGCGTTCACTGTCCAGGGCTCTGTTTGATTACTCTGGGACCTCAAGTCATCATTGTCCAGTCTGTCCAGATCCCAAGCCCTCTGACAAAAAAAAAAATTAGGCCCACATACTTGAATATTCACGGGCAGAACATTTCAGCACCTGCCAGACTTCAGGAGGCTTCCGAGTATCTCCTTGAATATCCCCTTCTCTTCTCTCAGAAATGGATTGAACAGCAGTCAGGTGCACGGGCTCTGGGGACCCGTGGTCTGCGGCCACATCCCTGCTCACCTGTGTGATCGTGGGCAAGCTTTTCGGCTGGTCTGAGGCTCAGTTTCCACATCTGTAAAATGAGTCTTTATTCAATGGTGCCTCTACCTGTAGGTTGCAGGGAGAATAAAATGGGGTTCTTGACAAAAAGTATTTAGCAGAATGCCCACTCCATAGTTAATCCTCAAAAACTGGCAGGTAGTATTAGGGCCTTTATTACTACTGTTATTATTAAGTAACCAAAGCTGACCCGGGCATCTTCCATGCCCGTTTGCGATCTGTACGTGGGGGTCGGTGTCTGCAGCCGCACCTGCTGGTGGGGTCGTTGGCAGTGAAGCTCTGGTCTTGGAGATGACCAGTGTCTGTCCCCAAACAGCCTAGTGCTCCACGTTTTAACTACTTGTTTATGTTTGCCTTTAACCGGAATTTTGCATCTTTCAATTAATTGGTCATTTCTCATTTAGCTCCTCCAGCCCAAAGAGCAAGAGAAGGGAAGAGAAGAGGCACAAAAAACAGTGAGTGGAGCCCTCCAGCAATGCCCTGTCCAGCCTGGGGAGGTGGGACCGGCCTCTCAGCCAGGGTGTTCAAGGGGCCTGATGCCCAGGGGAGGAGGCAGTGGGGCGAGAGGGGAGAGGGGAAGGCAGGACTGTGTGAGGACTTGCTCTGCGGGCCTGGGTGTGCGTGAGTGCACAGGGGGGTGTGTATGATGTGTGAGTGTGCATGCGTGTTTGCGTGTGCATGAAAGTGAAAGTGTGCATGTGTGTGCCTGGCACACCCATTGTGTGCGGATTCTGTGTTCCTGTGAGGGTATTGTGTATTTATCTGTATCTAGTGTGTATATGTGTAGCGTGCACATTGTTTGTAGATATCTATACATTTTTCTATCACGCAAACATTTGTGTGAACTGTGTGTGCAAATGTATGCAATACGGGTACCCAGTGTGTGTGTGTGTGTGTGGTATATATTTGTGTTCATGCGGATGCATTACATGTGCCCATGTTTATGTGAGCATGAGCGTGTCCAGTGTGCATGTAGGTGCGCTGTCTGCCACTGTGTGTGACTTGTACGCACTGAGCGTGCACCGTGCATGTGTCTGTGTGCATTACGCACTTGGGGTTGGGGGTGGTTTTCACCTGTGCACACGTGTGTGCTGTGTGTGCACGAGGGGCTAAGGGGCATGATCACATGCATGCATGAGTGTGCACATAAGTGTGCACATAAGTCCGAGCCCTGGCTGCTGGAGCTTGGGGCACGGGGATATCCGCGAAGCTCCTGCCCCGTCTCGGGCCCCAGCTGGTTCATGGTCTATAGCTGATCGTAGAAATTCAAATCAGTCAGCGCTTCCTGCGGAGTTCACTTCCCAGCCAAATTAAAAGTAAATTTGGTTACAGCCCACCTACTTTATACCCTGCGAATGTTAGTGCGTGTGTTTTCAATCAACTAGTATTATATCTCCTGCCAAGAAGCTTCTATAGGGAGGATCAAAGGCAACGGGATGAAAGGCAGGGCACAGAGGGGGGGCGCTCAGCTTTGCTGCTCCAAAGGGTCATTTCAGCCAAGGTCAGTGCAAAGGAGGGCATTTCAGCCACCACCACGGTGCCCGTGGAAAGCTCCAGAAGGAAGCAGGAGAGCTTTGAGTTAGCTCTGGGAAGAACTTCCTGATCAAGTCAAATCAAGAGGCAGCTATTGGTCGTAGGTATTGCACGTGCTTTTGTGCCAAGCACAATCAGCGTGTATTCTCCTAGTCCGCAGCATCACTGTAGGTGGGGCGGCAGGACGGGGACCCCAGAGCCAGGGGCGGGGCCCAGACCCTAGGAGCACTGGGGGGATCATTGCTGAGGTCAGAACTGACTGCCTGAAGCCAGCAGGGTGGCTGCCCTCCCCCGTGCCACGGGTTAGGCGGGTCCTAGAAACCTCTAGCAGGAGGTAAGAAAGGCTGCGAAAGCCAAAGACCAGAGCAAGGAAAACAACACGCCCCTGAGGTCAGGGCCCTTCCTCTTGCCGAGTCCCCTGTCCGGGCTGCTGTCAAACAAGTGAGGCCCTAACTGGTGCTGGGCCCAGGACGAGGTCAGCCAGCCGTTTTCTGGCCTCGAGAAGCTCACAGTCAGTGGGACACTGCGGACAGGCAGGGACAGGTCACAGCCGTGGCAGACGGAAGTCCAGGGTGCAGCCGGAGCCCTGGTGCTGGAAAGTGGGGAGTCTTCCTGCAGGAAGGGGTGTCTGGGTTGGGAGTGAGGATGGAGGCGGGACTATTCTAGGTTGCAGGTTACACAAGTACTTTAAACTTTCTGTGCCTTGGTTTCCTCGTCTGTGAAATGGGAATAACAGAGAACCTACCCCACAGGTTGTTGTGAGGGATGGTTGAGTCCATTTAAGGAAAATGCCTAGAACTCAATGCGGGCGTGCAGTGCGCATTGGGTACGGGTTACCTGTCCTCCTCTTCATCACGAGCACGTCGTGAACCAGGAAATGCATGAGCCAGAACAGAAATGAAGTTGCTTAGACCTGCCAGGCCAGGATTCTCACCTAAGGAGCATGGAGAGCTAGACAGGGAGTGACTCCTGAAGGTGTTGGGGTTCAAGGTCAGAGTCTGGACTTGACATGAGGGTAACGGCCTCATTATCACATTACGAGAATCCCTGAGTCCTTTATTGGGATAACCAAGCTACCTCCTGATAGAGTCATCTCTAACTCCCACTGTCTTCCTGGCCTGGCCCAAACCATTGACATTCCCTGGACATCCGCAGTGACCACTGCCACTACTACTTCTGGGTCATTGTTACTGTTGAAGGGGACCCGACGTAACCAGCCAAGATGCCAATATTTGTGGCCGTGGTTGTAATTATTGTAATTCTCGTTGTCGATGATGTTTGGAACTTATTCTCAAAGTGGGTTTTTGACTCCAGATGAAGAATCTAGATTTCATTTTCCAGGTCTGAGGTTACAAATTGGCAGCCCAAAGGCCTCATTGACTCTGCAAATGTGTTTTCTTTGCCCCAAACAGTGTCATTTTTAAAATAAAAATGAGCTTCCGTTTAAAATAGGAATCTTTTGCATTAAAAAAAAAAAAAAATCTGTGTTTCTACATTCGCTGGAAAAATTAAAAGAACCAGCACCACACCCGGACTCTGGAGGCAAAGCCAGTCCTTTCTGTGGTGCGTGCCCTTTGGGCGATACTTTGGTACCATTACGGTAGCCAACTGGCGCGGGAAAGCTGCCCGAGATTGAGCCTCCTGCCTTAGGAGAGAGGTGACGCAGAGGTGACCTCTGCAGCGGTCCTCGTCCAGCAGGCTGGGAGGTCGAGGCATGCAGGCTGTCTCCTCCAGGGGACCCCCTTTCTGCTCACTTGTGTTCAGGAGGGCTGATTAGAGACCCAGATACCCATGTGGGGAGCTGGGGTGACGTGGGGGGTGGGATGAAGGGAGATGCTTCACTTTGGGAGGGACAGTAACAGGACTGTCAAGATCAAAGTCAATCAGCCTCTCTCCTCTGACGCTCTCCCTCTCACCGCCCCCCAAGATCGCGAAGCCGGCCCCGAAAGTCTCACCGCCACCGCCATCACCACTGGCCCTCGCGATCCCAGAGCTCGGCGTCGCGGTCCTCCAGCTGTGAGAGCAGGTAAGCCCTCACCCCGGCCACGCCCGGAGCCCAGGTTCTGTTTTCATCAGCTCTGCCTCCCGCTGTGGCTGGGAGAAGTGCCAGCAGAAGGGGGCCCCGCCTGGCACTGCCATCGCTTCCCTGGGGAGAAGGGGTTGCAGACACTGAAGGGAACCCCAGGAACTACTTGTTAACACACACGCTTCCCAAGTGCTCTGAAGACCGCACTGAGGTGCCGAGCGCTTCGGAAGTAGGTGCTATTGTTGCCCCCGTTTTAATTATTTTTTTCTTTATTTTTTTTTTTTTTTAGAGAGGGAGAGAGAGAAACATCGATGAGAGAGAACATCGATTGGCTGCCTCCTGCATGCCCCGCTGGGGATCAGGCCCACAACCTGGGCATGTGCCCTGACTAGGAATTAAACCGGTGACCTCTTGGTGCCTGGTTTGACCCTCAACCACTGAGCCATTCCGGCCGGGCTGTTATCCCCATTTTAAAGATGAGAAAACTGAGGCACAGAGAGGTTAGGCACTTGCTTGTCACTTAGCTACCAAGTGACAGAGCTAGGATTGAACTGGGGAGTCTGGCTCTGCAGTCTGCACTCTCTCTAAGGGTTCCTCGAAGCACAGAGACGCTAAGCAACCGATGAAAGGCCACACAGCACTAAGTCCCTCATGCTGAGGCCCTTCCAAGTCAGGTGTCTCCTAACCCGGACCCTTCCTATGCGGACACGTAGGCTGTCCGGCCTGGGAAAGAAGGCGGGTTCTCGGGGATGAGAAGAACCGGAGGAGCGAGGCTCCGTTGATGCCAATGTTTGAAATTGTCCGCGTCCAGCGGGAACACCAAGGCCCACGGTACAGTACCAGGCCAGCTCCTGGGTGGCAGAGGCTGTTTAATTTTTTTTCTTAAATGCTTCTCACACATAGGTACATGTTCATGTCGTCCAGGGAAATTTTAAAATCTCGCTGTTCTGGTCCCACAACATCCCAGTCCAATCAGAAGGTGTGGATCAAGAAGGAGAAACATTTCTCTAAATCCGACTCTGTGCCTGGCACTGAGCTACCGTGTCACATACGTTTTCTCTCTTCCTCCTCCGATGGCACCATGAGTGAGACCAGGCCTTCTTCACTTGGGCTGCACTGTGCTGTCCCCTTGGACGTTTTCTCTCACACCGGTGCCGGATCTCACCTCCAGACTGGCGGGCTTAGTTCAGACGAGGTGGGGCCGGGGCCGGGGGTTTCTCAGTCTCCCCGGGCAGTGTGAACGCGGGGTCCAGTGTGAGAAGTATTTATGGAAGAAAAGCCACCCCTGACATCTGCGGCCGTCACCCATCAGCCGGGGTGTTCCCGCTGAACGTCGCCAGTTTCAGGGCATGGGCATCACACAAGGCTGGTCGGGGACCCCGGGTGACCGAGACAGACACAAGACCCCTGTGGAATCACGTCTGAGCCTGGACGAAACAGTCCAGAACACACAGCGTCTCTCCATCCCGACCAACACGCGTGACGGCTGCTTCTCTAGCAACGACGGCCTTGACCTCGGCCTGCTCTCTGCCTTTCCTAGATCAGATTTGTGGAGACCCAATCAGAGAATTAGCCCCGTTTTCTGACAGCAGTCAATCCGGAACAAAGCCCCAGGTCCCAAAGTCACCCCCCACAAGCCCACAGTGGATCTCCCTAGCATTTATAGGGAGACGCTCCCCCCCTTCCCTAGGCTGTGCGTCTCCCTCACTACGGGGAGCAAGGACACACGGTTCAGCCACAAGCGTGCTCTGGCGGCCCCTGTCTGGAGGGCGTTGAGGCATTGAGCTCCGCTGAATTAACGGCATGTTCCAGCTGAGAAGGCTGTGTCTTGGTGAGCAAAGGGACCCGAGCAAGGTCACCGTGCCTGGCAGAGCTGGGACAAGGACCCAGGTCTCTGCGACTCTGCCCAGCCTTTCACCTCCAGCCCAGGCTGAACCAGCTCTCAGCAGGGACGCCTTGCTTGCACACTCAGGGTGCTGTGCCCCCCACCTCACCCCTGAGGGCAGTGGCTGACATCGCCAATTCTACCTCAGCCTCGCTGTCCCCTCTGCTGGTTCTCCCCAGCGCCTGCTGAGCTGAGGGACACTCCACAGTCATGGAAGCAACCTGCCAGCTGTCCCTTGGACCCCACGCCCCATGCAAGTGATCGGGAGGCCCCCGAGCACAGAGGGACCCTCCAGCACAAGAACCAGAGGCCTGGGTTCCTCCAGGAGTGGAAAACTCAGTCCTAACCCCAGTTCTGCCACTTGCAAGCTGTGCGACCTCAGGCAGGTCCCGAAACATCGCTGAGCCTCAGTCTCCTCATCTGTACAATGGGAAAGTAATACCCGCCCTGTCTGTGTCTTCAAGGTGTGGAGAGGATTGTGAACCCACTTTGGGAGGGTTTTGCAGGTGCCGTGCAATCAGCAGGTTCAGCGCCACTGTCGCCGTGGCTCAGAGCTAAGGGGCACCGCAGAGTGCAGAGAGCCCCTGGGTGCCCGCCGCGGGCAGGGCGGCCAGACCTGAGAAGCTCGCAGACGGCATCTTTGTCATTTTTGTCAGCTATGTTTTTTCCCCAAAGTTTTGGGTGACAGTCAATAAGATGCCTCTGTTTCACAGATGGCGAAGTCACATACTCAGAGACACACAGAAATCTGCGGTTATATTTATAGACAAACACAGGAAAACACAGACGGACACGCCCAGACCGCACATACACACAGTCACATACAGACAGACACAGAGAGACAGGCACACCGATGTGCAGAGGACACGCCACTGAATCAGGGTGGGGACCTTTTCTGGCTTGGTGGTGGCAGCCCCACCCCTAAAACAGCGCCAGGTGCACGAAGAGACATTTGTCAAGTGAACAAGCCAGACTAGGAGAGATGGATGAATGGGCAGGGGGAGGGTGCACGCGTGGTTTATACAGTCACTCCCAAACACTCTAGTCCTCAAAGCCTATGGGTCCCCCATAGGGCCACCTCTCTGCCAAGCTCCCCTTCCAAAGACCCTCAGGTCTCTCTCCCCCACCCCAGGCACCGCGGCCGGTCCCGCGAGGAAGGGCGCAAGTCTCGCCACAGGCACGCCCGCCGCAGCTCCAGGACCCTCTGCAAGACCAGCCCCGAGGCCCGGCCCAGCCCCCCGCCCAGCCAGCCCCTCCAGGTGCTCAGCCTCCTGTCGGCCAGGGGTGTAGTAAGTATGCCGCACGCACAGCCTCCCCGGCCAGTCTTGGCCACGACACCCGGTGGGAGGGGACGCGAAGGCACAAGTTCAGGGCAGTGTACGGCACATTTTCAATCAGTTCCAGGCAAATACCCCACTGGTTTCAGACCTCATTATTGATGAACCAGACAGTCATTCGCCTGCCTTTGGCAGCACCCGGCTTGGGGGGCTTGGGGCTGGAGGGGGGGTTAGACAAATGAAAACACCCAGGCTTGTTACCAGGGGATGTTACACATTTGACAGTCTCCAGAGCGACATCTCCAGGGACCCGTATGCACTGCAGGAGTCACTGGGGTGGGGAGGAGCAGAGAGGGTCTTAGAGGGACCAGAGGCGCTTCCGCTGTTCAACAAAGACCACATCTCTGATACGAGCCAGCCCGCAGCCTGGACTACCGCTGGGACTTGGTGGCACCCATGTAAACTCGGCCTTGAACGTACAGGACCTGTGTCCTCTCGTGTGTCCACAAAGGTCTTGGGAGGTAGAGGGCACAGCTCACTGGTCCCTTCCACAGATGGGACGAGACAAATATGGCTCAGAGAGGTTGAGGTCTGGGTAAAAACCACACAGCAAAGCAAAAGCAGACTGACTCGTGCCTCCCTCCCTCGGGCCAGCAGTGAGGAGCTGGGGGTGTGACGTCAGACAGTTGACACCACAGAGTTCCCGGGGCAAGGGACTTAGAGCGGATCTGAACTCAGGTTCCCACGTTGCCACTTCCTAACTGTGTGGCTTTGGGAGAGTCACTTAACCTCTCTGAACCTCAGTTTTCTCATCGGCAAACTTGAAGTCATATCTCTTCCATATGGGGTGGTTGGGGATATGCAATAATTAGGACGACCTTTTGTAGACGCGAAAGGGACAGACAGACAAACAAGGGGAGAGTCAACCCCGATGTAGCCTGCGGCTGTGACCACCAGGTCAGACGGGACCCTCTCCTCTAGCTATGAGTGAATCGGAACATTTCAGAGAGCTGCCCCCTTGGGAAGGACGAGGTGCAAGAAAGGAAAAGAGAGGTGCTTGCTGGGAGGTGAAGAAAGAGAAGGTGATGGTCGACCCTCGCTGGGTCTGGTCCACACACAGTTAAGCTCCGTCGTGCATTCTGAGACACTTCCTCACCAGCCACGGTGCCCTGAGTCCCCGAGGTTCAATTTTGCCCAAACCCTTGGCCCCGTGGGAACCGCCCACAGCTGTCCCCTTCTCTGGAAAGATGCCCGTGCTGCTGAGCACCGGCCGGTGGAAAACGCCACCTGTGTCCCCCTCCCCAAAAGTCCTCTGGAAGGTCCTCGCAGCACAGCAGAGGTTGGGAGACCGGGTTCAAGTCTTGGCTGCACAATTCCTATTATGCCTCCCAGCCTCGGCTTCCTCACCTGGAAAATGGGCATGACTGTCTCACCTGCCTCCCAGAGGAACCGTCGCAAAGGTAGACATAAACTTAAAATGCAAGCAGTGCGAAGGTGGAGGATGCTTTTAAGTCAGTGAAAGCCACCCAGTCGCCCTGGTCATGGTGTTTGTAGCAACCCACTTGGTGGCCCCCACTGACCCTCATGAAAAATGCGACTGGGAGCAACTGGCTTAGGTTTTTCTCACCTTCCTGGGATGGTTTCCTAACAGGGCAGGTCTGTCAAGATGTTGCAAAAAAGAAAGAAAGAAAGGAAAAAGAAAAATGTGGTCCCCCCACACCAGGTGGTGAGGTACAAGATTGCCTATTGGTCCTCGAAGGCTTGACGTCCCCCAGGGGCTGAGCCCTTCGCAGAACAGTTGGCAGCTCATCCATATCTAGGAGACAGACCCGGAGCGCTCACCCGACTCAGTTCCCTGATTCCAAGAACACACTCACGGGACATAAATGGCTGTCACAAATGTGGGGTTATGATCGTGTGGTCCAGTCCTGCCTCTGAGCTAGAGTTACTTAAACCTTTCACAGTTTCCTCATCTATTAAAAGAAAATAAGCCTCTTCTCCAAAAGCCTCGTTGTTAAGACAAAAGCAAAGCCATGTTTGAACCCCTGATCCCAGTGCCTGGCGCAGGGACAGAACTCAGCACAGGTTAGTAGGCATCAGGATGACAACAGCCCCGATTCTGGCTCCGCCCTTACGCACGCGGAACCTTGAGCGGGTGACAGGAACTTGCTGGGCCTCCATTTCCTCTAAATCTGCAACACGGACAATAATGAGACCTGCCTCTAAGACGTATGTCATGAGGACTCAATGTAAGTAAACACCTTAGACCGCAACAGGCAAGTGGTAAGCACCGTGAGGGTGGATGCTAATGAGAGTAGCGGCAGGCGTATGAACAGTGGAAATAGAAAAGTTATAGCAACAACAGTAGTGGTGATGGTCAATAGTAGTAACGGTGTGGTTCTACGCCCAGACTAGGCAGTGGATGAGTTGGGACCTGGAGCCCTGGCCCCGGCTTCCTCTGCCTTCAGTTTTCTCCCATCCTACATGGTGGTTGCAGCCCATATGGCTGGCTCCACCCCACTCATGGTTGCCTGACTTCTGGGGACCTTGGATGCCCCCCAACTCTGGTCCTCAGAGTGCCCTCCACACTAGACCTTTCCTCACCTTCTCTCTTTCAAAGGCAAAGATGAAAGAAGGTGTCAGGTGGGCCCAGAGGTTTTCCAAGAGCCCCGGTCCCAAGACTTTCCTGAGCTCTCTGTTAAAGACAACAGCAAAGTCACTGTCATTGATCACCTGTTCAATCATCCCTTCCGATTGACCACTGATCTACTGAGCATCTGTGAGGGGTCCACTCTGACATTGGTCTCAGGATCCAACAAATGAGGAACAGTCTGTGCCTTCTTAAGAGGCCAACAGAGAGGTGAAAACTGTAGAAAACAAGAATGAACGCAGAGATGCTGAGATGGGGTTGATGGTACAGGCAGGAACAGGAATTAGGGTTAGGGTTAGGTTAGGGCAAAGAAGCAACAACTGATTGAGAAACTAAAGGTAAGCTGGAGTGAGCCCAAGGAAGCAGGAAATGAAGCTAGAGTCGAGGACCGAGACAGAATTTCTGGACAAAAGATGAGGGTCTGGAGATGACAGGACCCGGAGCATGAAGGGTCTTCTGTGTCATGGTTCCTCCCAACCTCCATTGCAGGAATTTTATATGCACAGCTCCTTAAAAAATCAAGGACGGGTGCATCACATCAAGGGGCATATTTGCATATATGAATATGCAAGTCCGGGGTCATGTCTTATTACAATCCTACTTGGTGAGCTAAAGATAACCTGAAGCCCTCTTGCTAGGTCTGAGCTAAAATCCAAATGGGAGGTCCCAAGGAGATGATGTAGGGACCCTTCCCAGCCTCACTCATGCTCCTTATCTCCACTCGACCATCTCATTCAAGGCATTAGGGAGACAGAGAGAAAAATAAAGTACTCCTCCTGAACTCCGAACTCACAGTCTGGTAGTCGAAAGAATGCTGCAACACAGTGAGATAGCGATGTAATTAGGGCTGAGGTTGAGTCGGTGAGCACCAGCATCTCCTCAGTTGTTAAAATATTCCAATGTTTGCACATCAGTTGCTGAATAGACCCTGTCACCACCTCACACCTCAGTCAACAAAGCCATGTCTTTTCTCCCCTGCTACTTTCTGGACCTTCTCGCAATCCAGTGACTAGAGAGTGATACCTGACAGCCCTTCAGTACCAAGGCCAGCTACCTTCAGAAGAAGCAGCGCCCACACTCAACCAATTGCTGAATAGTTTGAATATCACCCCCGATTGGGATGGAAGTAGATACAATGTGTAGTAGGACCACCGAAGGAGGACCAGACAATGTTGTCTTGGTGTCTGAGAGGGCTTTATAATAAAGGAACATTTAAACTGGGCTTTAAAGAATGAGTAGGAGTTCACCAAATTGAGATGGATGATGATAGAGGGAGGGGCAAATACTGCTATGTGCCAGTTACTGTCACAAACATTATACAGATATTTCCCCTCCCCCCATTTGATCCACAGAATAGTTCCTTGAGGTAGATGCAGTTATTATCGCTACTTTTCAGATGGAAAAACTGAGACTCAGAGAGATGAAGTGACTTAGGCAGGTGGCCCAATTGGGCGGAAAGGGAGCTGGTATGAATCAGGGCTTGTCCCTTGGAAACCTACTTGGAAGCCGGAGCAACGAATGAATGACACAGAGGTTGGTGGCCCCAAGGTTTTGCCAAGCCCTTTCCCGGTGGCATTTAATTGGAGAGGGAGTCAGGAAGGGGGCTGATCAGGACTGACCAAGAAGAGCAGGTTCCATCTCTCCTTCTTCTGCCCCCAGCTTGGGCCAACAGTTGCCACAAACTTCTTGCCAACAAAAACCTGCACAGATACCACAACGAGAAACAAAAAGGAAGAAAAGCAGAACTTGGGGTCCATAAAAGAGGGTCTCGTGAAACTTGTCTACAAAGAGAGGCAATAGAGGGTGGTGATGAGGACTTTCATGCAGATCTGGATGCTCTGAAGTTCTTGACCTTGTCTCCCCGCGAGACCCTGGGTAGCAGCAATAACTAATGCTTACTGAGCACCTACTATGTGCCAGGTGCTAGGCTGAACTCTATACATGCGTCATCTCATTGATTTCTTCTACTACCCTTCAGGGAGCTTCCACTAAAACCCCCTTTACTGTGAGGAAATGATAGCCTAGAAAATTTAAGTAAAAGGCAGCTATTCGATGGAGAAGTTAAGGTTCAAACCCAGAAGCCTGACTGCAGAGACCACATAACTGCATGAACTCCCTCATGTCATTTACTTCTCTGGGCCTCAGAGTCCTCATTCGGTAGTTGTGAAGATGGAATGAGATAAGGTGTCCATTCGTTTACAAAATACACGCCACCTACCTACTGTGTGCCAGGCGCTGGGTGAAGAGCCGTGAACAGGACAAGCTGCATGAGGTCCCTGCCTTCATGCAGCTTCAGTTCTGCATGAAAAACAGCCCAGTGCTTGGGCTGTAACACTCCGTGTGCAATAGTTGCTGGGGTTAG